GTTTTCTATAAAAAGGCTCTCTCAAAAAAGGTAAGAACAAAAAAATTAAATGCCCCCCCAAAAAGAAGGGGTAAAAATAAAAAAAAAAAAAAAAAAAAAACACCCAAGGAGGTCATCAGAATCCAAGGTACCTTACGACACGCTCAATGTGCTGCTAGGCGCTTTCCACATGCTTACTGCAATTACCTTCAATGCCACGCCAGTTTTATACTTAAGCAACCTGCAGCTGTTTACGCAAGGAGTGAAGGGTCAAAACTAGCACCGCCACCCCCCATCCCCATCTACAGACTGATGGCAGCAGAGGGCGCAGTAGTGGGTCGAAGATGGACCGCCAAGCCTGGACTCTCAGGCCCACTTGGCAACGCCCTGAGCTCCCCAAGTCCAGGCGCAGCTCCTGGGCTCCCCCGCGGTTCCCCTGCTCTGGGCCAGGTCTCCTCCTACCCAACCCTCCTCGTGACCAGCCGCCCCGGGAGCGCGGAGGACGTGGGTCTCAAGCCGTTGGCACATCGTACCCTGGCGCAGGTGCGACCCGCAGGGGACCACTTCTGCGTGAGCATAAGAAAGAAGAGTGCAAACCCAACCCGGGAGCCACCAGCGACGCACATCCCCATCCAGCCAATCAAATAGAGATTCCTCGGAAGGTCTGCTCCCCGGCCCTGCGTGACAGCTGCTTATAGGACTGGCGGAGTTCCAGGCCCGCGGGGTTAAGAGATGCGCGTGCGCAGATCGGCTGGGTCGGGCCCAGGCGCCTCGGGTACCGCTGCGCATGCTCGCCGCCCACTGACAGCCGTGCACCTGCTTCCAGCATCCGAGGTCCAGCCTAGCATCTTCCCTGAGCATCCCGCGCCCAGCCATGACAGCGCACTCCTTTGCCCTCCCGGTCATCATCTTCACCACGTTCTGGGGCCTCATCGGCATCGCCGGGCCGTGGTTTGTGCCCAAAGGACCCAACCGCGGGTAAGGAAGGCGCGCAGGCCCTCGCTTCCTGCGGACCCTACCCCTGACCTGCCTGGCCCGGGCGCGGGCTTGTTTCCCTGCAGCTCTGGTCCACACAGGGAGCGCTCTCCATGACGCCTCTTTTCAGATCTCCGCACCTGGGCCGCAGCAGCCTGGAAACAGGCAGGAGGCCCTGGTGACGTTTGTACATCAAGTGTCACCTTTCCCCCCTGCCCCGCCCCGGTCACAGACGGGCACTGATGCAGATTCTCCAGTCCTTACCAACTGTGCGACCTTGAGCAAATGTCAGGCCTCAGTTTCCTCAATGAGAAAAATGGGGACAGTGGTCACTCCCGCGTTATAAGGCCGCTGTGAGTTTTACCAGAAATAATGCCCTTGCCGGAGCCCGGCATGCTGTGTATATTGGATGATTTGCGCTGCTTTCACTTTTGGAAGGTTGCCTAGTGGATTTCTGTACTCTTCACCAGTCCCTGCATCCTGCTACCCTCAATTGTGATGTCCTAACACTTTACCCACAAGCCCATTGTCCCAGCTCTTCCTACCAAGCTGCCTAGTGATGTTGAAAGAAGGGATTCATTACTAATCTCTGAAATGCTTGGCACTGCCTTGGATTAGGGTTAGCTCTTGCTGGAGGCTTGTGCAGAGGGATGTTGCCTTTGTTCTTGCAAATGTGATGGAGGCTGGAGAGATGTCTTAACTGTTAGAGCACATAATGCTTTTCCGGAAGACTCAGGTCAAGCAACTCTCAACCACCTGTGACTCCCGCTCCAGGAATCTGACCCCTCTTCCTGCTTTTGCAGGCACCCCCCCACGTACATGTATACATACATATCAAAATAAAAATAAATCAGGGCTGGAGAGATGGCTCAGTGGTTAAGAGCACTGGCTGCTCTTGCAGAGGACCTGGGTTTGGTCCCCAGCACCCACATGGCGGCTAACAACCATCCATAACTCCAGTTCCAGGGGATGTGACACACTCTTCTGATCTCTGTGGGTATTGCACAACTTGGGTGCACTTACATACATGCAGGCAACACATTCATACATATAAAATTTAAAAATAATAAAATATTAAACAATAAATCTAGCCCAGTATGGTGGCCCATGCCTTTGATCCCTGTACTTGGGAAGTAGAGGCAGGCAGATCTCTGTGAGATCATGGCCAGCCTAGTCTACATAGCAAGTTCCAAGCCAGCTGAGGCTACAAGGAGACTCTTGTCTCAAAAACCCGAAACAAAATGAATAAATACATAAATAAATAGACAATAAAAACAAATCTAGCCGGGCGTGGTGGCGCATGCCTGTAGTCCCAGCACTTGGGAGGCAGAGGCAGGTGGATCTCTGTGAGTTCAAGTCCAGCCTGGTCTACATAGTGAGTTCCAGGACAGCTGGGGCTACAGGGAGACCCTGTCTCAAAAAGACAAAAAAAAAAAATCTAAAATTTAAAAGAAAGATTTAAATCTGCTGGGCTCCAAGGTCCTAACCTTTACTTTGTAAATCACTTTAGTGTGACCTCTCCTGAAAATCATGGTGAGTTTCTTATTGTTTAATTGACTGACATCTCTCCAGCTCTGTTGTAAACATCTACCTTGATTTTCTCTGAGTAGTTACAAAGTCTGTTGTTGTTGTGGTGGTGGTTGTTGTTGTTTTAATAACAACTCAGCTTCAGAAATGGCTCTGCCTCCTTGCTTCTTGCCCTTTCTTTTGGTCTGTTGTTTTCTTTGACTTTGCTGGGTGAATTTTGAGTTCCAGAGGCCATTCTATGGGCTGTCACAAATGGAGCTTATACAAAGCCTTTTCCAGCATGTCCATGTTAAGATGGGGAAGTGTTGAGTGATGGAAAAGCGAAAGGGTTTGTAACATAGTTTGGATGTGAATGAGCTTGTTCCTATTCTCACCCTGTAATTCTTGTTCTGAGTGGACCACAGCCTCCCGTGAGGTGGCATCAGAAAGGCTGACACCAGGAGCTCTGTCTGACCCTGGCTGCTGCTCCCATCCATCCTGACCTGTGGCTTCTTTCTCCTGCTGCAGAGTGATCATCACCATGCTGGTAGCCACTGCTGTCTGCTGTTACCTCTTGTGAGTACTGCCCTCCCCAGGACCTGGGGGCTGTCACCATCTCCATCTCTGGGTCTGGCTCTGTCTCCCATGTGGCAGTGGCATGAGCTTTGTGACTGATGCCTCCAGCTAAGTTTTCTCGCCTGTGAGATGCATGAGTTGGGACAGCTCAATGATGTCTGTTCCTGACTGGCATGAGAATCCTCCAGAATGAATGTTCAAACACACTTTGGCTCCACTCTAGACTCAGCAAGTCACTGGAAAGTCAGGGCATCCATATTTCTAATTAGTGCCCTGGTAATTGAAACACAACTAGGGCAGAGCCACCAGGGGACAGCATCCATCTTCAAATCTGAGAGAGGCATCCTGGGAAACAGAAAAAACAATTCAAGGGACACAAGTACCTGGACAGTGTGAGGGAGTCAATTCTTGGTTTGGGGGCAGCCTTTCTCATTGTTAATTAAGCCTGTGAAGTCTCCCATCTTCCTGTACCTAATATAATATTTTTATGGGTTAAGCTTGGCATATGTAGGGGCTTTAAAATTTCTTTTTGAGGACAGAAGAGGGCATTGGATCCCCTGTAACTGGAGTTATGGACAATTGTTAGACACCGTGTGGGTGCTGGGATTTGAACCAGGGTCTCTTGCAAGAACAGCTAGTGCTATTAACCACTGAGCCATCTCTCCAGCCCCAACGGGGCTTAAAATTAAAAAAAAAAAAAACAAGAAGACAGGTGAAGTGAGGCGATGCTGACTCTTTAGAATGAAACAAATTCTTTTAAAAACAACTGTTCAAGCTGGTGTGGGGGTACATTGCTGTAATCACATCACCTGAGAGATGGGGATAGAAGGATGAGTAGTTAATTAATTAATTAATTAATTAAATGTTTTTTAAAAGGGAGGACAACTTGTTTCTTTCTTTCTTTTTTTTTTTTTTTTTTTTTTTTTAAAAAAAAAAAAAAAAAAAAAAAAAAAAAGAGGACGATCTCCTTGTAGCCCCAGCTGTCCTGGAACTCACTATGTAGACCAGGCTGGCCTTGAACTCACAAAGATCCACCTGCCTCTGCCTCCCAAGTACTGGGATTAAAGGCGTGCACTACTACGCCCAGCAAAGGGAGGACAACTTATATAAATAAAAACAAGTGGTTTATATCCCAGGATTGCCAAATTTTTCAAAATATACAGAACAAATCCTACATTTAAAGGATTAAGTTGATTATTTCATAGTTGGTGCCTGTTACTATAATTAAAATCTGCTTTATTTGATTAATTAATGAAATATCTATTCATTTGTTCTCTCATTTACCTTATATAACATTTAATATTTATCATTGCCTATTACCAAAAAAATAGTTTGTTAAAAATAAGGATGACCCTTTGGTGTTACCTTACCTACAGAGAGATGTGACTTTTTAAAAATTCTTCCTGACAGAGCATCTTTAAGGCCTTTCTCTAACATTATCTCTTGGTCCTTCAGGACCTGACTGAATACCTTCCTCTGCCCTTGGGAGAACTTCAGAGGGGCTGGGATTTAATGGCTCAGAGACCAGGACACAAAGGAGATGGCTGGGAGGGTAGAGGAAACAGAGAACTGGCAGGATGGGAGATGATTACAAACACTGAACCAGTGTGTGGAAAGCAGCAAGCAGGCCACCAGGTGGATGTACATAGTTAAAAAGAAAATGCAGGCCGGGTGTGGTGGCGCAAGACTTTAATCCCAGCACTTGGGAGGCAGAGGCAGGAGGATCTTTGTGAGTTTGAGGCCAGCCTGGTCTACATAGTGAGTTCCAGGACAGCTGGGGCTACAGGGAGACCCTGTCTAAAAAAAAAAAAAAAAAAAAAAAAAAAAAAAGAAAAGAAAGAAAAGAAAATGCAACACCTAGAAGTTCTCTCTAGGAACTGTTACAGTCTGATGCAGCTGATGTGAAGTGGGCCTCATAACTGTAGTGGGGGAAGTTGGATGGACAGATATGGCGCTTTCAAAGGCTGTAGAGCTCCTGCTGTGGGAAAAGAGAGTGGGAAGGTTTGTCATGAGGATGGAACCAGACTACCACCCAGACATGCAGCTGCTGTAGTAGGATGCAGTGAGGTCCCTGGGGACCTCGCCCTCCTGAAGGCAGGTGGCTCAGCAGCAGCCGGGCCCAAGGCTTTCTGTTCACTAGCTACATTAGTCCTGGGGTAGCCCCTGAAAGGAGGGGATGCTAGGCAGGGTGTAGCTCACTTACCTAGGATGTATGAGGCCCTGAGTTCTATCCCCAGCATCCCACCCTCTTCTAGAAACAAAACAGTAATTCTTCCGTGCCTCTTCAGGCCTGCCTAGGCACATGGAGATTAGGGTGCCCAGAGCAGAGGCGTTTGCAGCAGTACTGAGAGTGACTCCTAAAGGCCCCGGGACACTCCCTCCTTGATCCAGCCATAGCTCAGAGACCTTACAGACCTACAGAAAATCAGATCAACCTACATCAAAATTCACAAATCCAGAACCAATTCCCTATTCCTGCCTAGACTGTGAGTGGCTACCTCATTTCTGACGACACAGGCCTTGCTACCTGCATGCTCCTTAGTAGAGAGAGTGCCCAAGTCTCCCTTGCACATGGGGTGGGTCCCTTCTGTGCCTAGGGACTCTCACTCTGCTGTCTTTGTCAGCTGGCTCATCGCCATCCTGGCCCAGCTGAATCCCCTGTTTGGACCTCAGCTGAAGAATGAGACCATCTGGTATGTGCGCTTCCTGTGGGAGTGACCAGCCAGCTCCTGGCTCCAGGTACTGAGGGGAGAGACTGACTGAGGATGAATTGAAGGGAGAGACTGACTGAGGAGGACCTGAGGGGCCTGTGTTGGGGAAGAAGGAAAAAGGGCCATCGCAGAATGGGCTCAGGAATCCATTTGTTTAGCAAAGGCAACAAAAGACCATGCTAGCCACCAGGAGAGATGAAGACAAATCCCTAGTCCTGTACGCACGGAGCTTACCTGAGGTCCAAAGGTACAGTGTTAGCCTTAGGATTGCCAGGTCATGGGTGGGGTGGTAGGTGAGACATATCTGTTCTGAGTGAGGTGCGGGGAGGGGAAGCAAGACACCAGCTTAGACAGCGATAGGTGAGGGTCAGCTGAGTGCTTGAGGCAGGGGCAGGAGTAGACTGAGGAAGCTCTTCAAGGCCCGGGCAAGGGGGGAGGGGCATGTCCACTGTCAGGTGGTGACCCTTAATGACATGTACTTTTCAGGTGTCCTGCTCCGGATGGCCCTGCCTTGATGTTCCTGGTGACCCTTCATCCCCCTTGGTCCCACTCAACAGTCCAGCCCCTCCATGGTCTCTCCTGCAGGCCCTATGGGATTCACACCCCCAGGGCTGGCCCGGTTTCAGCTCACCCTGACTTTCCAGCTGTCGGGGGGCCTCCATCTTGGAAAGCCCTGCGCTCAGTCAGGCTGTAGTGGGAGCTGGCCTGCCCATAAATCTCCATGCCTGGCAGTCCTGGGCAGATCCAGACTGAGGTGCTGGTCCTGCTCAGGTCTGTCTTCATCCAGGGATCAGAAGCCAGGACTCAGCCCAATTCCAGAGAGGACGTGCGCCTTCATGGAGAAGAGGCACATGGCTCAGAGTTCTCTAAGCCCAGGGCAGCTTCTCAGCTCTGTCTCCACCTTGTGAAATGCTGGATCAGGCCACACACAGAGCTGGAATTATTCCTTAATTTTCATACACTTCTAAATCTGACATTTCTGGAAATGTTGACGTCATAGAGAAACAGTCACATCCAAAACTGATACTGTCCTTTGGGTCAACATTGAAAGCTCCACGTTTGGCATCCTTTGTAGCAGTGAAGTCACTCAACAGCATGGGGGATGGTGTCCCCAGAATGCTCTTCCCTTTCTCTCCCTCTACAAATAAGCTCACCCCCTCCCCAGAGCCTGCCATTCTGGGCATGACCATTCCTTCCAGAGGGCCATGCTCTGTATGGGCTAGGGTGGGGCAAGCCCAGAGACCATCACAGCAGACATGGGAGCCAGGATCAGGGGTCGGACAGAGGTGATGTTTGTAGGGTGCTGCAGGCTCTGTGCTTCCTTGGTTTCTGAGGCTGGCACTAGCCAGTCCTCTGTCCCCCAACTTTGTCTGGCTCTATGCCAGGGACAGTGAGTGGCAGAGAAAGGCAGGCCATAAGGGGTCAGCCTAGGGGAACCCAGGGACTCTTTAGCCCATGCTGCACCTGTCTGAGAGAGTGAATGGGGACAGCACACTCATGCCTGCCCTCCCAGAGTTAGTTGGGACAGAGCTCATGCACTTTCCTTGGTTCCTGGTCAGTGGTTGTCTGTGTTACCTCTCCAGGGGAAGAAAAGCCAGCCTCACTTCTGTATTGACTATTAGGCTTTCCTTCCTTGGTAGGGGTCATTCTCGGAGTAACAGTAGAATATACTGCATCTCAGATTCCTGGGCTCTGGGCCTGCTGGTTGCTCAGAGCTCAAATTGGGGCTTCCATGGGTACCCCATCCCTTCCCATCTTGACCTCTGAAGCCTTTATGTGAAGCAGGGCATGGTGAGTGTGACTTGTACTGAAAACCCGATTCCTAATAAATAATGCTGATGCAAGATTGTGGATTGGTAGCCAAACTCTGGCGCTGCTGTGCTTCCACCTACTTGCTTTCTGTTTCTTTACTAGGATCTAGGGAACAGAAAAGGGATCTGGCACCAACGCCCTCTGGATTGTGCTTCTGGGGCTTGGATATGGAAGATTCCCACACTTTCTTGAGATATGGAGGAGAATCTGGGCACCCCACTGTCTGTCTTGCACTTGGCCCAGAACAAGGCCCAATTAGGAGGGAGACGAAGGCTTATTCAAGCGGCACCTCAACCACTGACTTCTGCCTCAGAAGACAGAGTGCATAGCTCCTGGGCTATGCAATAAAGAAGGTTCCATGTCCCTAAGCATGGCCTTCCCTGTGCCTGATTGTCTGGGGATGAGATCTGTCCTGCTGTCTATTTGATGCTCCAAGCCAGGGCCTGTTTAAGGGAGGGCTGGAGTCTGTTCCATAGAGGTTAGGGTCTGGTGAGGAACTGGGAGGAAAGTAAGGTGGACCCACCTTTGGGGTCCTGGAACCTGTGGAGGGGCTTGGATTGATCTTGAGGGCAATGGGGCCTGAACTTGGCAGGGTTCTGTAGGGGAATAGAACCAATAGAGAGGGGAGTATTTATTAGACTGCCTTATATGATGAACTGGGTACTCCAACAATGGCTACTTGTATGTTGAAGAAACAGAGAATCCAGTAGCTATTCAGTTCACAAAGCTGGGTGCCTCAGCAGGCCTAAGCTGGTGCTGGAGGCCTGGGGAGCCACTGTTGTTCAGGCCGCATTGGAAAGCCAAAGACCCTGACGTCAGATGGTAGCAGCATCCGTCAACACACACTCAGAAAGAAGGGCAGACAGGCAGGGGACGCTGCCTTTATCTTTGATGGCCAGGTGGAAAGTCTTTCCCCTTCTTTGGAAACACCCTCACAGACAGACCCAGAGACAGGTCTCCTAGGTTGACTAAATCTCAACAAGTGGACAAGACCAACCAGCACAAGAAATCATGAAAAGCAGGGAAGTGACATGACCCCAACTTGATTTTTAGACTTCTTCGTGCAGGATCCACGGTGACAAGAGACTGGACAGATATCCAGTGGTTAGAGGCCAGGTGGCAGTAGTGAGGACAGAAAAGCAGTGAAAGCTGGACATAAAGGCGTGTCAGCCGGGCCTGATCTGCATGTGTGAGCCCAGACTGCTCTGAAAGGGGACCAGAAGTGAGGGAGGGTCCTGATTCCCAGTCCACCAGGGACAGCTCAGTGCTGAGCACAGGGCAGGATCGCCTTTGAGAGAGATGTGATGCACTGTGATTTTCCTTTGTTTCCTGTTGAGTTCGAATAACCAGTGAGTATTTGGGCTGGAAAGTCAGGAAAAGCAGTATGTGGAGTGGCTGGAGTTGGGATGGGTCAGAGTCAGAAGTGCCCAGGATAGAACTTGAAGAGTGTAGGGGGTGGGTAGGTCTGTAATGTCGAATGTCCAGAGACAGGAGGTGAACCAACTGAACGGGGTGCCAAAGAATCCAGATGGAGAGGGCTGAAGGGGAGAGAAACGGCCCAGGGTATCATATGCTCCCATAGCCCTCCACCCCAAGAAATCAACGGCTTTGCTGACAGGTAATGTCAGGATGTAGCGGGCCGAGAGTAGGTGGGCAGGTGAGACAAGAAACTCAAGTGACAGCTGGCCAGGTGGGGCCTGTGGCCTGCTAAAGCTGGGCCTAGACAGATGAGCTACAGAAGGAAGAGACCTCTGGGCCAACCTACCAGGCCTCCATGTGTCAGCCCTGGGCCTAGGAGACCCGTCTTCAGCTCCTACTGCTGAAACCCAGCTGGGCCCAGCCTGCTGCATGCCTGTCATCAGGGCTTCAGATCTGGGGTGCCTGAGATCCTTCTTAGCCCAGGGTTGGGGAGCAGGAAAGGGATTCTCTGCAAACGGCTGCTTCCCCAACCCAGTTGCTGTTTCCTGAACTTTTGGCTTCTTGGTGCTGGATGTTTGGAGTTTCTTTAGACACTGCTGGATATGTGTGGTGGTGGCTGAATTTCATTGAACTCCCTGGAGGTAGCCTCTTCCTGGTGGGTGGAGACATGGAGGGCTGCTTCCTGTTCCCTCTGGCCTGCTTGAGGCTGGCAGCTCCTTAAGCCTGTGGCTTTCTTCTTAGTTCTTTTTTAAAAAATTTTATTTATTTATTTTTTATGTGTATAAATGTATTGCCTAGATGTATGTGAGTGCACCATATTGTGCAATGCAGTGGAGGTCAGAAGAGGGCTTTGGATTCCCCTGAAACTGGAGTTAAGGACGGTTCGCAGCCACCATGTGGGGGATGGGAATCAAACCTGGGTCCTCTGCAAGAGCAATCGGTGCTCTTAACCGCTGAGCCAGCTCTCCAGTCCAGTTCTTTTATTCTGTGAAGTCATTAGTTTCATTTAGAATGGTGAAGACAGAGAACATTCTTCCGGGTTTATGAGAGACCACAGTAGAAACAAAGATTTTGAGACTTATAGGTTCCAAAGGCATATGGCACACTAGGCCACGTACATACCCACAGAGCGAGAGGCATGGGCCTAGGCACCTACTTTTACTGGGGTCCAGGGTGGGGAATGTAAGTGTTGGGCACAGGGCAGTGACTGGGCAGTTTAAAGCAAGTAGTTATAGAAAGGCCCACACAAAGCCCTTTCTGTAGATGAGGTGTTATCATGGGATCCCTCTGGCCTCTAGCTGTGTGTGAACTTGGGGAGAGCTATGCGGTCTCAAGCAGATAGCTAAACACCAAAGGAGATTCAGACCCCCATATTGCCATAGACTCTGACACAGTCAAGCACGGAGACCAGGTGGCTGAGGGTGCTTGATTACTTGCACTCTGGTAGGAAAGATCAGGTCTTTCATTCCCTTGTCAAAGAATTGTGTTCCACATGGGGCTTTCCTCCATGCTCAGGGTGGGACTCTGCAGAGCATGGTCAAAACTATATAAAACTGGGCAGGTGAGATGGTTCAGTGGGTAAAGGTGCTTGCTGCCAAGTCTGACACCTGAGTTCAGTCTTCAGAACCCACATGGTGCACATGGTCCTCTGACCACCACTGTGTGCCATGGAAGCATGCATCTAGGCACATGCACGCCACACCCACCCCCCCGGGGAAGGTCCAGGCTAGCTGGGGCTGCAGGGAGACCCTGTCTCAACTTACGCCCCCCCCCCCCCCCCCCCCCCCCCACAATTTTTAAAACTACACAAAATTGGATATTGAAGCCACAAAATGATTTCATTCAGGAACTTTAGCACTCAGGTGGCAAAGTCAGGAGGATGGTGACTACAAGGCCAGCCTGGACTGCATCCTGAGACCCTGTCTCAAAAAACAAAGGCTGGGCATGGAGCACAGAGGCATAGTGCCTGCTGAGTCTGTTTAAGACTCGGTTCAATCCTCACTACCACATACACAAAGATGGTTAGTCAGTGCTGAGATTACTAGCTGTGTCTGTGAGCTGGCCGCAATGAGAGTTAGGGTTCTGTTATCCCAGAGACTGGGAGAGGTCCTATTTTCTCCATGAGGACATTTCAGAGGCATGCTATTCAGATACTTTCAAGTGACACTCCTGGATTGCTGGAGCTACATCCATGGATATCAGAAACATAGGAGGGATTTGCTGCTGTGAGCAGTTTTTAGTAAGTGCTGAGGGGAGGCTGGGGATATCAGAGACTTGTCATTAACTGTGGGCTCAACTTGCTCAAGAACCAGGCCCAGCAGGAATATGAGGACTAGGGCTTGAGTGGAACTTGGACCACTTCTCCTCTGCCCTAGAAGACAAAGTGCACAGCTCCTGGGTTGTGCAATAAGCAGGATCCATGTCCCTGAGCATGGCCTGCCTCATATCTGAGTATCTGAGGTGGGATCTGCCTGTCTAGCTTCCTGCTTGAGACAAGGAGGGGAACAGAGGAAAACAGGTATTCCAAGGCCGTTTTGAAGGGTCTGTCCAAGGGATTCAGTCTTGGGCTTCTGGAGACTGTGATAGGGTTACTCCTGTCTCTCAGTGCAGGTATTCAGACATGATCATTATGTGCCAAGGCAACTTTTATAGTTCTATTTCAAACAAGACCCTTCCTGATATGGGAGACAGATTGGTAAATGCCAGGCCCTGACACAGATGCTCACAGACTGTCCCTGGAGCAGAGATCTCTACAAAGGGGAGGTGGCTAAGGATAGGATATCCCTGAGCCACAGCAAGTGGCAAAGCGGAGAGCTGGTATGGAGAGCGTGCCCTCCAGAAACCAAGTCCACTGAGAAAGTAAAGACTGTCAAGGTAAATTTAAACTGCACACCTAACATGTGGCCAGCAGACGACAGTGTGTGCACAGGGTGCAAACCTCCAAGAAGGGTCTGCAGATGTTGAGCCTTGAAAATGGCTTTGAGCTGGAACAGCGATGGTTCTACAGAAAGCATCACAGCTTACATGAAACATCCTTCAAGGAAATTTAATAGCAACGGTGACTGATGACTGATGAGTACTGAGCCGTTGTTTCGAGTCAGACACTGCTTAGAAGACCAAAAGGCAAAGAGCTGAGAGGCTCTACGACATTATGCCCTTGTTCCAGACCTCCTCAACAAGCTCCTGCAACTTTTTCCTGCCTTGGCATCAATGAGAGATCTGGTACAGTCCAGCTGATGAAGGGAGCACCCGTGGGCCCAGGTTCACCCTGGGGAGAGTCAAGGGCCTTCCCTGTCCCTGCGGAAGCCATGACACCTGGCCTGCATAAGAGTATGTTTGCTTCACATAGAAACAGAATTGTTGGTAACTGGGACTGTGAGGCCTGGATGTGAGACTCTGTGGGAGTGGTTGTCTCTGAAAGCTTCCTGCCTGTGTGATGTGACTGTTTATAAAACTCTGGGTTTCCAGGAACAAAGACAGTTGGCCGCCACCCCAGTGTTGTCTGACTTGTAATGCCAGTGAGAGCCAGTGAGAGCTGATGACCAAAGTCCTGTGTGAATCCAGACCACAGTCTGGTTAACTAACAAGTCACTCCCCGGGAGGCTGTTGGGCAAAAGATGCAGGATTTCAGTTA